GGCCTACCCGGGTCAAGCGTATCGACAAATAGACCGAATTTTATTGTCATTTCCCGAAGGGGGAGCTTTTCACCTTCCGGATAATAATCAACATTTTATTGTCTAGTTGGAATATAATAGTTCTCAGAATCAACGAGGTAAAATCCACTTAACACTCAAACAAAAGGTCTACTAATTAACATGGTTTAATATGGTTTTAAATTATGATATGGTTTTAATGTTTATCAAAGACTGTTTGTAACTGCTAAATCAACATTAGTTCATACTTGAATTGCTTAATTAGCATATTTTTTTTTTAATTACTTAAGTAAATCTTCAAATTAAAATTAAACCTTTGAATGGGTAATCCGTTAATTTTAGACAGTTACTTAATAGATTTGATAAAAATGTCTTAGGGTTTTTGTAGTAAAATGTATGCTGACCAGCAAAAACTTTTTTTTTATTCGTTTCTGGTTGGAAGTCAATAACGTATTGATTCATGAGATACTATTTAAAATTTGATCGACTTTTCAAAGTTTTTTCCAAAGATTTTTTTTCAGGTAGTGTATGTTTAAGCGTACCTGACAGGCCTAGAGAGTACACAGTATGATGTTTATTCGTGTGTACTTTAGAGCTATTCGGAATGTTCCCTTCTTCCCAACTGAACATGAACAAAATGCATTAATTGAACATAATTCTCGTTAATTGAACATAATTCTTAATTACAGGGCTGACACGGCCGGAACGACAGGATGACTTATATCGGTCGTCATACCACTAATGTAACGCGTAAGATCATACTTAACGCTTTACTGCGTTTGTTTTACCTGCTCAACCATGTTTATAGAGTAAATGCGAGATGCTAAGTTAAGGGTCGTTTAACATAGTTTGTTTGGATCCTCATCAATGCAGCTTACAGGCTGCTACGCTGGGCCTACATCAACAGTAGTTCATTAGACAGCCTTGTGTGAGATAGTTCATCATTCGATGTAGGCCTGCCGGAATAAATATGCCATTCTTATACGTGCTTACTCAAGAAAACAACGAACGACCAAGTTTATATCAAGCGGTAAAATTGTTTTTATGACAATAAATACGTAACTTGTAAATGTCAGCATAAAAGCTTAACGCGTATATAATAGTTGTGTTTTGAACGAGACCATGGAGGAATTGTTAGACAAATAGGCACAGAAAGAAGTTAGCGCTTCGTACCTATCTTCCTTTAAAATTTGTCTACATCTACATTGTGATAAATCTTAAACCACCAATTCTGTTGATAACATTGCAATATTGGCCTATAACACAGTAATGTGATTTGTGGTTGACTATCCACACATCGTGGTTTCATGATGGGGATATTGTAGTATCGCCATGGATACAAGGGATTGGTTACAGGGGACTGACGCGTAATTTTGTAGAAATAAATATTGTAGGCCTAACTAATGGAAAGATGCGGCAAAGAAATATATGGAATATATAATAATTATTATATTTCTATTAATATACAAAACATTTAAAATCTAAATATTTAAACTAATATGCCTAAATTGTTTATAATAAACAACTCGTAAAATAATTTGAAATAAATTGTTAGATGTACTGTACAAAAGTGTTACATTAAAAAACAGCTGATTATAGGGTCAACTTTGGGAGTAACGTCGAAACTTCAGGTATTCCTATCAATGCTTACCACCCCTTAACCCTACGCATTTTCTAAATAAGGAGTACTGGTTCAAAGTCAAAGTAACGTAGGCCAAGTCTGTAGTTTATTTTTTTTTAAATCAAATAAAGTATACAAATACGTCTTGAAAGATGAAAGTATTCTTTATGTGCATGGACTGCCATACGGTGTTGTTTTTTAAATACTGTGAGTTGAACGTGAAATCTGGACAACACTCTTAGGAAAGAAGAGGCCTAAACTGTACACTGGTTTGCTTTGTGCTGGCTCTTGTGTGTCTTCTAATATTTCTTATTGTGTATGCAAGTTTGTACTATGAAGGGAATCTATCGTGAGAAAGAGGTGTCGTTTCGCACGGTCAAACGCATTCGCGGAATTTTAATAGAAGTAAAAAATTCAGCAATCAAACGTATACAAGCCTAATGTTTGTGCGCCAACATCTGTAGGCCTAATTTACTGCCCAGCAAATAGGAAAAAGCCAATTAAACACAGTATAGGCCTACTCAGTAGTCGTAAAAATATTGCTTCCATTCTGCAGGGATGTCAGTAACGAATGCCCAAATAAGTAGGCCTATTGAAGTTACTTGTGGACAGTGACACTCTGGTATACCATACCATCGTACATATCGTTATGGGAACTGTTTTGTGGTATCTTGCGTGTTACCGTACCACACCGCACGCACACCATAATAAAACGCTCATTTCAAAGCACCAAAAATTTATATAGCCTTGTACTAATGATACTTGGATCAAAATCAATAATTTTACTACAGAGTTTACTACAAATAATTCAAAAAAATGACTACCAACAATTTATTCGAGGGAGGCATTTTTTTGTGTGTGTGCAAAATGGATACGTATCCTATATACTCAATAAATGTCCCTTAATTTCCCTGTGAATGTGGAATACACAACACATAATTACCGTCAAAATGTGTTATTGCATAATCATATTAACGTATGTCTTATTGTTTCAAACCAGGTTAGAAAAATGTAATACTAATGTATGTAGAACATTATAGAATGTGTTGAGAATTATGCTAAAATGCAGAGGATCATCACCGCTGTCTGTTTATATGACTTGACCTTCGACACAGACATACGCAGTTAAAACTATACCACCGGTATGGCTTTGCATTGTTCGTGTTGGTTTTGTTTGTCGTTTTATTTTAAAAACCTTTAAAAGAATTTTATCTTTCATGAATTGAGAAATGACAAAATATACTCATGAGAACACTTATTATAACCAACATGTCTGGCGTCGCTTAACTTACCCTTTGAATTCATCCGAGGGTCAGGATGTTCCAACTTATTAATAAATGTTTTTTTTTAAACGTCGTCCCTTTTCCCATTAAAGGGTAAAATAAAGTTTAAAGGCTGTCGCATGATAATTTCTCGTCGCCAATCGTTCTGGCTTATTGAAAAACCCGTTAAGAGGCAGACAAAATGTAGGCTATTATAATTATTATTTTTGGAGGCGAACGGGCTGGTTTCAGAGCAAAACACCCGAAGTTATTTTAAGGTTCCATGCGTGACTAGCGGTTAATAACATTTTTGGTCTTAACTTGTATTTAGTTGAATACCTTATATCTTGCAATGAGAAAACCATTGATATGTCTAGTAGTTTGAATATAGGTATTTTTGTATTAAAGTAACATAGGCACAACCATATTGCGAAGTTCCAAACATCCGTCTAATCATGATGCTGAGTATCCATGTAAACAAGACCATTAGCCTAGACCTGATTTGTGTCTGTGTTGCGTTTGAATTAATTTTTAAAGAAAAAAAAATGCCTTGTACAACAACACTGGACGCCAAATATGTTTGTTTGTTTATTTGGTTGTTTTTTTTTGGACTTAAAATTGGAGTTATATTTTTTTAACTTTATTGTACAACCTGACCCATTTTGTAATTACAGCAAGGCGATCCGATACTAGATCTTACGTGATTTTGTCATTCTACCAGGCGTTCCGTATTAGACAGTAACTTTTTGTTCTCATTCGTTGTGTATTCCGAAACTCCAATGTAATTTGCCTCCAGGACTCATAGGACTAAATTTTGGAAGTAAACATCACTGGAGTCGGGATCAGTTGGATTACCTTTAACATTATCCTTGTTCAAATGGATGATTGAGTTGAGTTCAATGGCATTTATCCTGTTTTTGTATAAAACGCACGTCCGTCTTTCGAAAGAGGCTACAAGTCGTTGGTCTCATGTGCAATATGGTCCATATGCACGATAAAGAAATTGAATTGTCTCCCTACTCCTTGCCCAATCACAACCAGAAGGACCCCAATGGAAATAAGTCTTCGGATTTTCGTGGGATATACTTGGTGTTTGCACCGAATAAATCCAATCAAAGTCCTTATAAATGAAACTGCATAAAATACGACGCGGTACGACGATATGATATATTTTATTCCGTCCAAACAGTGGCGTATCT